TAGTAGGCAGCTACCAAACAGGTAGATACTACCGCCTGGGAAGATATTGGAAGCATAATGTGTTGTCTAATGGTAGACCCTGCTGCCATATGGCATCACGAAAATTGTGACCAAGTCCCAGGTTCAGCGCTGACCTGACTTTCTGCCTCATTTACACACAATTGCAGTTTGAATTGTTCCTCTAACTTTGACAACACAACATACATACAGTATATTATTTCTCACTTTTGATCTTTTTTTTACTTTTTGTATTTATTTATGGTTAGTTACTTTAAATAAGGCCAATTCACTTCAAGTAATGGCATCAAATGTTACCAGCTGGTGTAGTGTAAACACTAGTGACGTCACTTAAGCGTCTGTATTTAACTGTCAGTAGTTTCAAGAATTAATGCAGTCATTTACTGAATATTCCTTGTAAAAAAATAAATTTTAAGTATTATTATCAGTAAATATACCAATATGCATTACTAACCACCTCCACGGATAAAAATAGCCCAATCTCGCGGTCACTTTCCCTTTCTTGTCTCCTCACTGGCAAATGGGGGGGGGGGGCAAGGGGAGGGGTGTGTGATGATAGCTGTGTTTATTACAGGGGTATAATTCTCTTTTACGGTATGTTAGACAGGTTTATAATACATTTTTATTATTTTAATATACCGGTAATCTTAATTTGAATCCAGCTTGCCAAACGTAAGTTTCAGTATAAAATAATTAGTGGTAAGACCTTGTGAGTGGCTTATGATGTTTCCATCACCACTCTTGACAAACTAAACCACAATATTTAAGAGGTAAGAGTTTTATACTTGGTGGTTTAGACGACCCCCTAACTTTGGGCAGATTTTTTTAATGTTCAAATTCCGTCTTATAAGCCGAGATATACAGTACATAAAATTATAATTTTTTGTTAAAAATCATAATTTGTTTGGTGTGGATTTCTTGGTGTCTGCTACCGCCAAGCGTGGCGTCGCCATGAGGAGTCACTCCATTGTTTACATCCAGTGTGCGTGCATTTTTCAAGCCCCAATAGTTTGATTTAACTTTTACAAACATACAGTAAGTACAGTACAGTGCATTACCCTTATTCAAGATGACTGGAAAGAGGCCATCAAGTAGAAGTGACTGCAGTAGTGCAATAATAGGCACAAATGCATTACATTGGTTATTAAACTTCATGTGTTACGAAGGTTTGATGCTGGAGAAAAACTTAACCAGATTGCAAAAACATTAGGTCTTGCTACTTCAACAGTGGGAACAATCAGTGATAATAAGGACAAAATTAGGTCAAGTGCTCAAGCAGCTACTCCATTAACTGCTCGAACCTTGTATTTTCATAGAAGTGATGTGATGCTAAATATGGAATGACTCCTGGGTGTCTGGATTGAAGATCAGACTAAACGCAATGTGCCACTAAACACTATGGTTATTCAACAGAAAGCCATAAGTTTGCATAATGATTTGCAGGAAGAGGAAGGTGCATCTTCTGAGGTTAAACCTTTTCTGGCTAGTAAAGGCTGGTTTGAAAGGTTTAAGAAGCGCCTTAATTTACACAACATAAAAATGAGCGGTGAAGCTGCCAGTGCTGATACAGATTCTGCTAATAAATATCCTGCTGAGCTGAAGAAAATTATTGATGAAGGAGGTTACACACCAGAACAAGTGTACAATGTTGATGAAACTGGGCTTTTCTGGAAGCGCATGTCTGCTAGAACTTTTATTTCCACTGAAGAAAAATCAGCACCAGGCTTTAAAGCATCCAAAGATCATTTAACACTTCTTTAGGGAGGAAATGCTTCAGGTGACATGAAATTAAAGCCCCTACTTGTGTATCACTCAGAAAATCCAAGGGCTCTCAAGGGCTATGCCAAGTCTAATCTACCTGTGATTTGGCATTCCAATAAGAAGGCTTGGATGACTATGACCCTTTTCCAAGACTGGTTCACTAACTATTTTTGCCCTGCTGTAGAAAGATATAATGCCAGGCGTAACATATCTAATAAAGCATTGCTCCTCTTGGACAATGAACCAAGCCACCCAGTAAATTTAAATGATCTTTCTGATAATGTGAGTGTGGAGTACATCCCCAAGAACACAACTTCCTTGCTCCAGCCAATGGATCAAGGTGTGATGGCTAACTTAAAAGGCATATTATCTAAGAAAAACTTTTTTGCAGCTCATAAAAGCAATTGACGGTGAGGATAAACCTACAATTAGGGACTTCTGGAAAAAGTTCAACATCTTGGATGCTGTGGATAATATAGCCGAGTCATGGGATGAACTTCTGAAGGGAACTGTACCATTTGTGCTAATGCAGTTTATCACAACAGTTCACAACTCTGACTGTAACAACATTCTCTGTCAAGTTATTACGGTACAACAGTTCACAACTCTTACTGTAACAACATTCTCTGGCAGGTTATTATTGTACAACAGTTCACAACTCCAACTGTAACAACATTCTCTGGCAGGTTATTGCTGTACAACAGATCACAACTCCTACTGTAACAACATTCTCTGGCAAGTTATTACGGTACAACAGTTCACAATTCTTACTGTAACAACATTCGCTGGCAGGTTATTGCTGTACAACAGTTCACAACTCTTACAGTAACAACATTCTCTGGCAGGTTATTACGGTACAACAGATCACAACTCCTACTGTAACAACATTCTCTGGCAGGTTATTATTGTACAACAGTTCACAACTCAGACAATTTTCTGGCTTCTTTAACATGAGACTGTGATCTCTAGTGAAGCAATAAATAATTTCAGTACTGTACTGTATGTGTCATTAAATAGGTTTTTAAATAGTTAATAAATATATATTAAGCAAAGGCAGCTGATGAAAATGCAGTTTCTCCTGACCTCAATAGATGGCAGCAAGAACGGGCATGTCATCTGCTAGCAGAGGCCAGCAAGCCCAGTACTATACCGTTTCCTCTCATCTTGAGTCTGAACAACTGCAGTCAAGGAAGCAGTTGTTCAGACTTAATGTGCATGTATAAATGTACACAATGCCATGGCCACACTAAATGAGGCAGAAATGCTACTTGGGTCCTCCACATTGCCGCTTAGCCTCTGCAACACAAAGTGCTGAAATCATGCAGGAGAAGACACCTTTCCTAATTCATTAATGACTCATTGCAGTGAATAGATGTGATCAGGTCAGAAGATTTGTTCTTAATGTTTGATATTTTACAGGTGATGTCAACAAATGAGCAAGTTGAAAAATCAGTAATAGACTTGCTGGAAATTTTTAGATCTCAGCCACACAAGTCAGGGCCAGACAGAGGCTTGAGATTATGACCCCTACATATGCTGGCTATTCACCATTGCTCTTTCCATGTGTACCATCACAAAAATATTTTGATCAAGACAATAGTAATAATGAATAATTAAAGAAGTGATCATACCCCTTCTTGAGCTGTGTGATCATAATAATCTTGGTGACCTGTCCAATACCCAAAATGAGACATAAAGCCTCGGTAAATGGGAGTTAGCTCACGAGTAGCCATACCCAAATGCCATTTCCCAACATGACGAGTAGCATAACCCAACTTGACCAAGTGTTGTGGTAGGAGCCTCACTCCAATTGGAATTCCATAGGGTTGGGGCCCATATATTACATCATGGTTAAGACCTAAAAAACAAAAAACAAACTCATTAATACAGGTAAGACAGCAGATTGACAAAAGAAGTTATATACAGATAAATTAAGTAATAAGACCCCTTTAAGTTGGACTTCTGTATGTCGGAAACCTCCATAAGTCAGATGAGCTCCACCTTAGGGGGAGGTGTATGGGACAGTAGTTGGGTGAGGAGTCAGTTTCTGTGTGTTTGTTGTTACAACTACTGCTCCGCTGTTAACTATATTTTTGTTTTGTTTTTCATATTTAGTGCTTTCCTATTATATTATTATGGCCTACAAAGCAAGTAAAGGCAAAGCAACACCATTGAGGACCACTGGGAGAAGGGTGATGGTTCTCAGAACTCTACCAATTGAAAAGAGACTGAAAAAATATACAATAGAATTGATGCTGGGGTCACCATGATCATTATCTGTGAGGAGTTTGGGCTGAAGTAGAGTAACTTTTATGACATCAGACAGATTTAATAGATATAAGTACTGGGTTTCAAAATAGCCCTTGACAAAATTATGAGAACAGTGGAGGGATTCTACACAGCCCACTGGCCTCCTTCCTTCAGCATGGCCATTAGAGAAATAAAGTAGATAAGTGTAACTAAATATGTGTAATTAAATATAAATGTAAACATAAACTGTGTACTTAAGTTTAAGCAGCCCCCATTGTCCTCCACCACAAGATTCATCTGCTACACTAAGAGTAAGTGGTATATATAAAGTATACCATTAACTTTAACTTTGCTTCTGGAAGAGATTTATCAGCAAAATAATAGTTGAAAGTACCCAAGGGAGAGGTTACACACTAGTCAAATTTCTAGATAAGTCAGACAGCCTCGAGCACCATATAGTTCAACTTAGGGGTCTTACCTACGGTATTTAGATTTCAAGGACAATAATCAATAAAATGTATGCATGTGTGTCAAGTTAAATTAAGATAATTATCAAATTATATTAAGCATTAAACACAACTACCATATTTGTAAAGAGATAACTATTTCCTATTGCTACGAAGCCCACTGTGGGTCCCAAAAGCATGACTGACCATTGGGGGCACTGTGAAAATGCCACACTACACTAATCCTAAGGCATGCAGAGAGGAAGCATGGCCAGCCATGGGTGTATGGGCTGAGTAGTCTCTGGTGGTCCAGGTAATTGGACCCCCACAACTTATAATGATCGAGCTAAAACATTAGCACCTGCAGGGATTTTTCTTGTGTAAGGATGAGTGAAAATTATAGGGCCAAGTCATAAAAAATTATGTGATAAAAGCTATGAGATTGTGGAGTGTTAAAAATGTAGATTTCCATGTTTTGGTAGAAATATTTGTTGAAAGACAAATAAAGCTGGATTTTTATAAATATGTTATATTGGGGTTACATAAACCATAGTATTGTTATTTCGTTTGCTATTATATGTTGTACAGTATATCATGCTAGGTAAACAAAAGCATTTTGTCAACTAATGTTATGCTTAAGTCTACAATCGAAAATTCAGATTAAAACAAAAAGGACCCCCAGTCAACCAGTCCTAAGCCTATGCATATGTAACCAGCACTGCACTCAACTGCCTTCACTTCCCCAACTGTGAAGTTCAGTATCCAATTAAACCAGCAACCCTCGGACATGTTATTTATATGTATCCATTAAGGAACCCCATCCCTTAAGTGGTCATAGCTTAATGCCATGTAGAGCGAACCCATTATAACATGGGGAGATAGGAGATGCATCAAGTGGATCTCAAAGAGCCCCCTTCCCCGCCCACACCAAAAATACTACAAAACCAAAGTTCAAAGACATTGTACAGCTGTAAAGTAGCTCACTAATATATATACATCAACCAAATTCACTTAAGCATGATGTTGTAGAGGCATGATACAAGATGCTGAACAAAAAAAAATCTTCCTAACTAATAATAAAATACGATCTATTTGAAAATATGCAGCTAAAAACCATTAAGTGAAAGCTAAATGAAAGTTTAACACAGCTGCCATTTGCATAGATGCTGCCTGCATCAAGCATGACTGCCCTCAAGCATCACCACAGCAATCTAACCCAGCTGTATAGCTCTCCCTCCCAACCCTTATCAATCTAGCCCAGCTGTGGAGCTCCCCCTCCTAACACTTAGCAATCTAACCCAGCTGCAGAGCTCTCCCTCCTAACCCTTAGCAATCTAGCCCGGCTGCAGAGCTCTCCCTCCCAACCCGTAGCAATCTAACCCAGCTGCAGAGCTCTCCCTCCCAACCCTTAGCAATCTAACCCAGCTGCAGAGCTCTCCCTCCTAACCCTTAGCAATCTAGCCCAGCTGCAGAGCTCTCCCTCCTAACCCTTAGCAATCTAACCCAGCTATGCTGTGGAGCCCCCTCCCAACCCTTAGCAATCTGCCCAGCTGTGAGGCTCCCCTCCTAAAGCAGCCCAGCACAGAGATCTCCATCCCAACCCTTGCAATCTAACCCAGCTGTGCTGTGGAGCTCCCCTCCTAACCCCAGCAATCTATCCACCTGTAGGCTCCCCTCTAACCCTGCCCAGCTGTAGAGCTCTCCTACTAACCCTTAGCAACCCAGCCCAGCTGCAGAGCTCTCCTCCCAACCCTTAGCAATCTAGCCCAGCTGTGCTAGCCCCCTCCTAACCCCAATCTAGCCCCACCTGTAGAGCTCCTCCTAACCCCTTAGCAATCTAGCCCAGCTACAGAGCTCTCCATCCCACCCCTTTGCAATCTCCAGCTGCAGTGCTCTCCTCCTAACCCTTAGCAATCTGGCCCAGCTAGCTTTCCATCCCACCTTGCAATCTGCCCAGCTGCAGTGCTCTCCTCCTAACCCTTAGCAATCTAGCCCAGCTGCAGAGCTCCCTCCCAACCCCTAGCAATCTAACCCAGCTGTGCTGTGGAGCTCCCTCCTAACCCTTAGCAATCTAGCCCACCTGTAGAGCTCCCCCTCCTAACCTTAGCAATCTAGCCCAGCTACAGAGCTCTCCATCCCAACCCTTTGCAATCTAGCCCAGCTGCAGTGCTCTCCTCCTAACCCTAGCAATCTGGCCCAGCTACAGAGCTCTCCATCCCAACCCTTTGCAATCTAGCCCAGCTGCAGTGCTCTCCTCCTAACCCTTAGCAATCTAGCCCAGCTGCAGAGCTCTCCCTCCCAACCCCAGCAATCTAACCCAGCTGTGCTGTGGAGCTCCCCTAACCCCAATCTAGCCCACCTGTGAGGCTCCCCTCCTAACCCTTAGCATCTAGCCCAGCTACAGAGCTCTCCTTCCCAACCCTTGCAATCTAGCCCAGCTGCAGTGCTCTCCTCCTAACCCTTAGGAATGCCCAGCTTCAGAGCTCAACCCTTCTGTAGCTCCCTTAGCAATCTAGCCCAGCTTCTAGCCCAGCTCAGAGCTCCTCCCAACCCTTAGCAATCTAGCCCAGCTGTAGGCTCCCTCCTAACCCTTAGCAAGCAGCTTCAGTCTCTCCCAAGCTCTCCCAACCCTTAGCAATCTAGCCAGGCTGCAGAGCCCTCCCAACCCTTAGCAAAGCCCAGCTGCAGCAGCTCTCCTCCCAACCCTTGCAATCTAGCCCAGCTGGGGAGTTCTCCTCCCAACCCTTGCAATCTAGCCCAGCTGCAGAGCTCTCCCTCCCAACCCTTACATCCTAGCTAGCTGCAGAGCTCTCCCTCCCAACCCTTGCAATCTAGCCCGCTGCAGAGCTCCTCCCAACCCTGCAATCTAGCCCAGCTGCAGAGCTCTCCTCCCAACCCTTTAGCCCGGCTGCAGAGCTCTTCCTCCCAACCCTTAGCAATCTAGCCCGACTGCAGAGCTCTCCCTCCCAACCCTTAGCAATCTAGCCCAGCTGCAGAGCTCTCCCTCCCAACCCTTAACAATCTAGCCCGGCTGCAGAGCTCTCCCTCCCAACCCTTAACAATCTAGCCCAGCTGGGGAGCTCCCCCTCCTGACCCTAAGCAACACTCCCCCTTCCGCTCTCACGCACAAAGAAATGTTTATTCCCTTTATGTTTTTGATCTCATGATAGTTATTTCCTTTACCCCCCCCCCATTTTTTGACACATCATGTATCAAGGACTGTGTGTGCATGTAACTGAATAAAAAAATATGAAAATTACATTTATCTATCTGAAATTACAGCTCCAATCTTCTTAGCATTTCTCTTGAAGGACTTGTTCATGGAGAGACAACTCCGACAGAAGCAGGTGTCTGGCCTTTCTCTAGTTGTTGAAGAATGTTCAACTTAATTTGAAGGGTAAACGTGGTTTTATTCTGCTTTGCTGGAGTGTCTCTAGGCAGATGGGCACTTCGCAAATGCTTATGTTGAGCTATGGTGATGAAAGCAGGTGAAAAAAATGATGCTAATCCAAACAAAGTTTTTAGTTGTGGATGGACCACATGGGTGGCATAGGGACACTACCCATGGACTGTAATGGACTCGACTGCTGATCCATGCAAAATGTTTCTTAACTGACAGCACCTGGCAAAAGATTACTGTTTTTCCGGCTTAACCCACGTTCTAGCAAATCTTAGTCCCATGTTAAGCGATACCAGGTACAGTAAAAAAACCTTAATCCAGACTAGTTAGGGGGATATCCAGTCCACATTAATCTAATTTCCAGATAAAAATAAATCCGGAGGGGATTTATTTAACCCGGAAAAAGTCTGGATTAACTAAGAAAAATCCAGATGACAATCCGGATTGCTGTCTGGTGTACACGAACGCCAGCCCCAGCAGCTTTGTTTACAGGCCAGTTGCACTGCTATAGCCCTTGAGTGTGCATCTATTAACTCCTGTGGACTATTCTTTTTTTCTTTTTTTTTACGGGGAATAGCCCACCCGGGCACTGGTCATTGACCCACAACGAGGCCAGGGGGGTGAAAAAATACGAGTAAAAAGAAAATAATATATAGAAGAAGAAGCTATTTTTTATAAAAAAAAAAATTTGTGAAAAAGTCCAGAATGCGACGTTTAGCTTTATACCTATGTATGTAAATGCCTAGCATTAACTCGCCAGGC